GAAAAACGGGAGTCAGCAAGCGACCCATACCTGCCAGCGGTCAGCTGACTGTAAGGGGCAGGGTCTGGCCCTTATAAACCCTAGGGGCTAAGGCCAGAAGCAGTTCACTGCCAGCAGCCCAGGAGGAAGGAGCTCTCTGCCATGAAAGAGAGGAGAAGCCTAACTGAAGGAACAGCGGCTGACACAGCTGCGGAATGGAGTTTTTCCCGGTAGGCTGGAATGTTGTTATGGCCAAGCGGCTTCAGTTTAAGTTATAGCCGAAGGGCTTACATTTGTGTTGTTGTTTATCACTGGTGGTTTGGGTGAGGTTATTAGGGGTTGGAGGAGGTCTCATAGGGGACCCACAGTAGTGTGGGAACCCCAGCGCCAGCAAGGGCACAGCATTCGAGGTGCACAGACCCCAGCCCCAGAGAGGGGCAGTTGAGAAGCCCCAGAGAGGGGGGCATTGCTGAGAAGCCCCAGTGCGGGTGTGGTGAGCCCCGGAGAAGGGGGCACCATTGCTGAGAAGGCCCCAGAGAGGGGGCAGCATTGCTGAGAAGGCCCCAGAGAAGGGGGCAGTGCTTTGAGACGTGTCAGAGAGAAGGTGTGGAGAGAGACAGGGCCGTGGAGGGCCTGAGCACCAGAGAGAGTGTAGACCCAGGCAAAACAACGTCTATTCCAGCTGCGAGGCTTGGCCATTGCTGAGAAGGCCCCAGAGAGGGGGCAGCATTGCTGAGAAGGCCCCAGAGAAGGGGGCAGTGCTTTGAGACGTGTCAGAGAGAAGGTGTGGAGAGAGACAGGGCCGTGGAGGGCCTGAGCACCAGAGAGAGTGTAGACCCAGGCAAAACAACGTCTATTCCAGCTGCGAGGCTTGGGGCGTGGTAAAGGGGTGGTAGGAGCCACGCATAGCCCATAAGGCTAGGGTGCCCCTAAAGCACCCATTGCAAAGTGGGACCCACAAGGGGTCCGGGAGTCCACGGGGCAGAGACTACAGCAACCCGTGTCCAAGAGGACGTAAGGCAGCCTCCTATACATTTTAATCTCCATCAAAGACGTGGCGGGCGAGAATTTGAGGGTGCCCTTGGGCCAACTTGGCACGGGAAGGGGGCCCTGAGATCACGGCCCTCCTGCAGGACCCCACTGTGACACCATTGTGGAATCTCCATCCTTGGAGGCTTTTAAGACCTGACTAGACAAACCCCTGGCTGGGATGATCTGGTTGGGGATGGTCCTGTTTTGAGCAGAGGGTTGAACTAGATGACCTTGTAAAGGTCCCTTCCAACCCTAATTTTCTACAATTCTACTCTTATGTTTCAAATTAGGCATATGCATAAATACCTTGCTGAATCAGCATCTTAAAATGAATCGGAGCTGCTCTTTGTCTTCTGCCTATTTCTTCCAAGGGTTCGGGTCCCTTTTCTCTCTTTGAAACTCAGCTGGGCATTTGAAAACTAATTTGTACCTCAAAAACAAGCATTATGTACTTGCGTGCAATGTCATACTAGACCATAAAGCTTGGACACCTTATTTTAATATTTAAAGAAAGTGCATTAATGGTTTCCATCGTGAACTAATTGGTTACAACAGCAGCACTTAACTGATAGAATCTCTCTGGGTAATGTGGTAGTGGTAAAAGTCAAATTATATATCTATTGACCACCAACTCTGAATAATAATCATGAAAGACAGTGAAAACTATTAAATTAGTATAACCTCCTCATCCGCCAGGCCTCCTTCTTCCATGGCCACTTCTAGCTTTTTCTGCCTACAAAGAAAAACATATGGAGAAGCAATCTTATTTTTTTATTTTTATTTATATATATATATATATATAAAAAAAAATTCAGTTAAGAACATCAGTTCACTACACTCCCTACTGTATCTTTATTAGGAGCTGGAGAAGAGAAATGTAATAATGGCAGTTTGCAAAATGAGAGCATTTAGTGCACCCACTTCCTGGAAAAGTTATCCTGTAGAAGACTGAGTTCTGTAGGCCATGGGCTGATTTCTGCCAACTCCATGGTTACACATCTTGTATTTCCACAAGCACCCAGGCAGACACTCAAGTCTACATGCTCTAACTGTCTATGTTAGATGGTACAATTCTACTGCACCACATCCTACAGACACAAAGACATGGCAAGGTCTTTCTCCCCAAGAGCAATCTACATTTTGCAAACTCTTACGCAAATACATGATGTACCTTTTCTCAAATGTGACCAGACCCTTTGGAACTTATTTTTATTTACATAGGTTTCATAATGCCACCAGAGATCTGAACATCCTGATATTCAGTGCTCTAAACTGTTTCTTTCATGTCTAGTTTCATTAATTTCAGCAAGACTATATGCAGAAATAAACTGATACAGGTGCTAATACTGTAGGATTCTACCATTAATAATGGATGTGTGTATATTTGCTTTGACCCACTGATTTCTTTTTTGAGAAATGTAGTAGAAGTCTCTCAGACAGGACTACCTAGTGCACAGACTATCTGCCATCGAGTTGCTCACTTCTGTGAAGTAACAAGGAAAGGTTTAAGGAGACGAAAACCTCATCTTTGATTGTATATTCTCTATTGACAACTTCTATTGTTATAGAAACAATTATTTCATTATTGATCACAATCTGAAACATAGTATTCATTATAATTCAATATTTGGTAGTCTGACTTTTTATTTAGTTAGTGGTACACTGCAGCATCAGAAGGACTGACAGACAGATATTAGGTGAAGGTCCACCTGATCCTAGCATCATCACAGTTAAGGAACCTGTTTCTGTAGTTAATGGCTTGCAAGGGAGTGATGTGGCCACCAGTGCATCTGGCTGTTTTTGTCTTCCCAGCCTAAACATTTAGGAAAATGCCGGTTTTATGGTGACAGACTTTAAACACATATATTAGTCTTAGTACTACAGAATAAAGAGAACATGCTCTCAAGCAGCTTGCGATTTATTTAGAAATCAATACAAACTTCTAAGAAATACTTTGTGCACAGACTAAAATGATTGGACAAACTCTATAAAGGGAGAGTGAGTATAAAAGCCTTAGAGTGATAGAGAAGCCTGATGCAGTACCTTGTTTCTCTCTCTTCATGCTGTAAAATTAGGTTGCTGTAGAAGTTCTCCAGTGTGAGTTTAGCCACAGTCACTCTCTCCCGGGTGTGGTTGCTCATGGGAAAGGATGTTGTATTCCCTGCAGTCATCGCCATAGTAACATGTACTAAAACAGAGCATATAAATTACTCAATAGAAGAAACTTTTTATTCCTACCAAAAAATGTGAGACTGTGTTCAATTCATGAGGAAGGCACTGCCCTTTATACAATAAAATCCATAAAGTTCCATATTGTAATATTATGGTAAACTGGTAGGAGGATGTGCTACCTACACAAAAAATAACAGAAAACGAATGATGCGTTAGCAAAGCAAGGTGGAGAAACATGCTGGCTCCGAGCAACTAAACGAAAGGCAGCTGTCTACAATTTAAAGAAATTCACCACTGGTTGACTCGAGTGCAGCCAGGTAAACCTAGAAGAGGACACAAGATGGATCCTAACATAAACATGTATGGATGCAACCATAAAATGTTAAGATCAAAGAAATGAAAGTCGATCCTACAGATAAATGCTACAAGTGAGAGAGGCTAGAAAAAAAAGTAAGTCAAGCATAAAAGTTTAATTATTGCCCATCTTACTTTTAAGATAAATTAGATCCATCTTACTTCTAAAGACCACTGAATATAATGGAGTACGAGAGTACTGGCACTTGTATAACACCTAGAAATTATCACAACTTTGATAATTTAGTGGAAAGGATTTTTTTTTCCTATTAAAATATCCAGAAGAAACAGAAAATGTCCCCTCCTGCAACTGATGAGACACTTGGAGTTTTCCCGCCAAAATGCATTAGACAATTACCATGCTTATCTGCTTCCCTGAGGCATATCTATATCTGTATCTATCATGCTGAGAAGCCAGTAAACTGCATACACAGTGATATGTGTGCCTGCCTTGCATCCACGAGCCACCTTAGCATATGTGCCTGGTGTCTATGTGTGACCTCTGGAGGGGTCCTCAATCACCCCAGGGAAAGCCCAGAAACTCTCCTGCCACAACTTTGATCGAATCTTTAGTGGTGGGTTCCCCTTCTGAGGACGCTCCCAAGTGGGAGAGTCCTCCTGGCAGGTATCCGTGGGGCTCCGCCAACCCTACATCCCTTCCATACGCCAGCCTCCAGGACGAGGTAAAGAGTTTCCGTGTGGTATACTCTTCAGTTGCGCCATTCCTGCACATTCCCTGTGCTCCTGGAACAGATGATTTGTCCTGACCTCTTGGTGTTTTCCTGTGGCCAGCTGGCCACCTGCTGTGGGTCTAAAACGGTTCCTGTCTCTCGGAGCTATGCTCGTACCCTGGCCACAGCAAGAAGAAAAAAAAAGAGAGGAAAATCCAAAGGGAATGCCAAAAACAAACAAACAAAAAAACCCCTCAAAAAAAAGCCCCTGAGGAAAGAGGCTAGCCGCCTCTCTTCCCTCACAGCCCTGGTGCCTCAGGCTTAAGCCATCCCTTGACATTGCTCTGGGTCCTCCCTCCTGCTGATGACCTCTCTTCCTGCCAACTCTTCAGCTGCACACTGGCGCTGCCTGCACTTGGCGTGGAGAGCATCTCCGTCGCCAGGAGTTTTACCCGCTCTCCCCGAACCTCCGCTGGTGCCGGCTTTTATTCCAGCTGGGTGGCGTTCCCCAGTGACATCAGCCGCCTGAGCCGGCCACACCCGGAAGTAAGCGCGGTTTATAAGCCACGTGGGCGGCTCTTCCTGGTGCAGCTCATCCCACACCTCCCAGCCTGAAATTGGTTTCAAGGCTTTCTCTGTGAGGGTGGGTTGCCCTCACCCCCCGTCTTACCGTGCGGGGGGGGGGGCCCCACAGATTTCCCCCCCCCATGGCCATCTCCCTGGGACAATGTCATTTATGAAGTGATGCTCATTTTGAAACACTGCCACTAAATATATTGTTTAGCCATTTTAAAAGTTTCTGTCAATGAGAACCTGCCCACACCCACACTTTTCCTTAATATCCTGTTACTTGCAAATATGATTGGGGGGGGGGGGGGGGGGGGTGTGCCACGCGGGGGGGGGGGGGGGGGGTGAAATCTACCCAATTTCTAGCCATTTCTACTCATCATTATGTGCCAAGTCATCCCACTCAAATGGAAATCTTCTATATTGTCTTCTATATTTCTGTGGAATACATGTGCTCTGGACAGGTTTCTCTGAAGTTCCAAATTCATGAAGACAATGAAAAGTAAACCTAGGGCAGATGATTTTTTGCTCAAGTGTGTGCGCGCGCATGCACACACGCACACCCCTGATATACCCAGGTTGAACTGTTCAAATGCACAGTGATGTCAGTTATCAAATTATACTAAGGAATAATCCAATACAGCAAAAGCACCCTTTTGATCATTTTGAAGCACTGCCACCGAAAAGCATTGTTAACCCATGCTCAAAATGGATTAATGGTATAAATACTACCCTGTAGTAACAGCAAATGACAGGAGAGCTATCATTTACAAGTCTGGTGTTCCCAACTGGACAAAACAAAGTATAATTTCATTTCCTGTTCATTTGTTTTCCCTATGCTTTGATGCACACAAATGCAGACATTACCAAACTGCGAGTCAAAGTCACTTGATTTTATTAAGCTCAGAGAAAGAAGATAACAATTCTGGCACTAAAACATTAAGCTATACATAGCACGGTTAATTCCATCAAAAAGTAGGTCTAAAGAAGGGGAAGGAAAAAAAAAGTTCCCATCTGGTTAATTAGTCAGTTCAAGGAAAGCTATTTAACAAATAAAATTTTTTTTAAAAAATCGTCACCGACAAGGGGGAAAATTAGTGTACTGGACATCCTCTTTCAAAGTCTCAGCTGTCTTCTTCTGATCCTACACATTCTTCTGCGTAGTACTTTCTTCACACTGAAGTTCAGAATGTGACAGTATAATTCAGGCAGCTACCCATTTCAGCAGGGGAAACACAGCCACTGCAAAACCAGCTTTTCAACTGAGTGTTGATCTGATCTGGTGAGGCACTGAGCTCCTTAGATTTCCACAATTAAGGGGTGAAGAAGAATTACAGTCTTGCAGGTGAGCAGCACTTTACAAAATTATGCCATGAATTTGCACATATGTGCACGCACACACACACAAACCCCACACAGCGAAGGCAAATAAAATACTTTCATTTAAAAATAAAGTAAGATGTTTGACATTTGCAAACCACTGATGAGGGAGGAAAAATGAGAGAGAGACCTACTCAAAACTTTGACAGAAACACCAAATTCACAAATCTTACTATATTAAAAACAGACTGTTTTTAAAAAGCTGCCACCCATCTTTCTTGGAAGTGCCCTTAAAAACTCGTTAATTCACCCAAGATCATACTATTTACAAAAATGAATCATCCTCTTCCTGCAGCACCACCAGAGTTGCATTAGATTTATGGGACTACAAAGAACACAGAATTTAAACCAATAAGTCATATTTGGCTGAAAATCTTCTAGCTTGGAAGCCAAAAGCTCCAAGCCCTTTTACATTGTCGGCTACTCTGGAAAAACAAATACCTGCCATAGATTCTTAATTTGGAGACGTTAGAACAACCTAATCAACGTGGACCTCTATAGTGCAAGCAAGCATTATTGATTGGGAGAAAAGGAAACTTCTGATATAAACAAGCTGGTTTCCTCCTAGAAATACCTACATGTAATACTACATATTTGTAAAAAATCTACTGGTGAAGAAGTCTCCTGTAGAAAAGAAAATGTTACACGTCATTGAGGATAAGAAGCACCAGTCCTTCTTTTGACAACACCTGCAGCCCTTTCTAGAGTACTGGAAATTTCTCATTTTATGTAAGTCGACATGCTCCAGAATGCCAGAGAATACAGCTCTTATACTCTGGTGGTATAAAAAATAATAAGACAAATAAGACAAAGCTTCACCCAGAATTGATTACCCAAGAAGGGAATCAGAACTATGGTTCAAGCCTTCATGTAAGGCGATTACTGAGAGAGCTTCTCATTTCAATGATTATTTCTATAAACTGAATGGGGAGTCTAGTCCAGTGGTTCTCAGCCTTTTTAGACTCAAGTTGTCACCCCTTGTTAAGATTCAAGACATCTCCCAAAAATGTCAGCTCTTAGTTTTCACTTTGACTATAGCAAAATAATACAGCAATTCTTCTGTTGCAAAGAACTCAGAAAGACCATAGCAGGTCAGAATGTTTTTAACACTATGTATTCCTATGTAAAGTCTCTGGGTTTATTTCAGGGGTGGGCAAAACTCGGCCTGAGGGCTGCATCCGGCCCATGAGCCATTCTACCTGGCCCACGAGGCCCCTAAAAAAATTTTGAAAATTAGTATTTATCTGCCCTTGGTTCCTGTCAAAAATGACAGGAACCAAGGGCAGTAGGACTTGGGAAGCCCGGCAGGCTCCCACAACAGCAGGGCCCGCCCGGCCCCGGCCCCAAAGCTGGAAGCCCCAGCAGGGGCTTCTGGCCTGGGACCACATGGCTGCCCCGCGCCAGAACCTCAGGTAAGGGGGGGGAGGGCAGGGGAGAACCCCAGGCAAGGAAGGCGGCCAGGGAAAAGTGGGTCAGGGAAAAGCTGAGCGCGCCCTGTGGGGGGGAGCGTCCCCTTGCCTGCCCTGTGGCCGGAGCCCCACACTGCAACCACTCGCAGTCCGCCTGGGGCTGCCTGTGCCTGCTCCGGACAGCCCTGTGCAGGCTGCGAGCAGCTGCAGCAGGGAGCGCTGGTCACAGGGTAGGCAAGGGGACGCTTTTCCCCACCCCACACACAGCTTTTCCCCGGGCTCCTTTCTGGTGCGGAGAAAAGTGGCCCCTCCCCCGCCCCAAGGCTGGTGCCTCATGCTACACCAGCTCGCAGCTCACGCGGGGCTGTCCAGAGCAGGCACAGGCAGCCCCCTGCGGGCTGCGAGCGGCTGGAGCGGGCGGGCCCCGCCCCCG